AGACCAGGCTGGACTCGAACTCACAGAGATCCGCCTGCCTCTGCCTCCCGAGTGCTGGGATTAAAGGTGTGCGCCACCACCGCCCGGCTCAATAAATGTTTAAGAGGCTAGAAGCAGGGGCTCAGTTGGTAAGGTGCTTGCCATACCAGCACAAGGGCCTGATACCTACATTAAATACCTGATACCTTCTGTCACTGGTACCTACATAAAAAGCCAGGTGTCACACCACACCAGTAATCCCTGCACTTGGGAGGCAAAGACAGGAGTGTCTTGCGGGGGTCACTGGCTAGTCAGTCTAAGCCTAAAGGATGAGCTCCAGTTCAGTAAGAAACACTGTCTCAAAAAGGGAGAGGGCAGCAGAAGAAACTCCACATTGACTTCCTACATACATGTGCATGCACACGCTCACAAACATACAAGTAATAAGTAGCACATGCTCACAAACATACAAATAAATGTCTGAGAGAATTCCCACTGGGGGTCTCAGGAAATGGCTCAGTGAGTAAAGAGTTTGCTACACAAACATGAGGACCTAAATTCAAATCCCCAGCACCCATCTAAAAACCTAAAACGTCCACTCATCCACCTGTAACTCCAGCTTGGGAGTGATGGGCTGACAGAGTAGCTCTAGACTCAGAGCAACTCAGAGTTGCTCAGGGATGTAAGCAACAGAGTGGTGATAAAGCAGTATGCTTGACATCCTCCCAGCCTCCAAATGTGTGCCATCATATGCACTGGCACATACCTGTGCACCTACACAAACACACAAAAGACACCACTGCCTAGTGCCCATCTCTTATCTGGAGTCTTTCTCCAGAACACTTAAGAAATGAGCTCAAAAAATGATATGAATCTACCTTACATGCATATAATGGCTAAATCCCATTAATTCTTCCTACACTGAGGTATCTACATTGCCTCACCATCTTTCTCATCTCGTCACCCCTGATCTTTCGTCCCTCTCTCAGCACATCTTACCAAGATCTGGAGATCACCTTCTAAGTCCTACAAGGACTTCATAAGACACAGGCTAGAAGTCCAAATCCCTCAAACTTCAACACTCCCCTACTCAATCCCAAAAAACAAAGTCACAGCTCCACCCATCCCCCAGGCACATCTTCTTTCCCTCCTTAGTTTACCTTCTTCAGTAGTCTCTGTGTCTCCTAGATGCTTGGGACTTTGATCCTGACTGTCCAAGAACAACTCATCTACATAGTGTATGCACACGTGGAGATAATCCCTTCTTTAACTCTCTTCTGCCTCAGCCTCCCCAAAAAACTATAATTATAGATGTGTGCCACAATTAGCACCCAATACATAATTCTTTTTTTGGAGGAGGGGGGAATTTTCAAGACAGGGTTTCACTGTAGCTTTGGAGCCTTGTCCTGGAACTGGCCTCGAACTCAGAGATCTACCTGCCTCTGTCTCCCAGATTAAAGGCGTGTGCCACCACCACCCAGCCCAATACATAATCTTAACCTTATTCAGAAATGAAGCTTATTTTGGCCATGATTAAAGTAAACTAAATGGCAAAATATGATTGTGCATGCCTTTAATCTCAGCACTTGAAAGACAGAAGCAGGAGAAGCTCTGTGAGTTCTAGAATAGTCAGGGCTACCTTGTCTCAAAAATAAATAAATAAATAAATAAATAAATAAATAAAGTCAATAGGATTACATCTCAAAACTGTATTCGTGTAAAGTGTACTACATTTAACATCAATATAAACAATAGATACTGTTATTTTACATCATACATTAGGGGCAATCATTTATATAGAGTACAAGCTGAAGAAATATGTCTTTTTTACATGCTTTTACCAAAGCCTAGAATTAGTAAATTTAAAGAATCTTTAACTAGTAAACGATATTATCTTGAATTGTGTCTAAATCCACATCCAAGGCAAAATTCACCGCAAAATGACAATGTCAAGATTTACTAACATGCTAATAACCATAGGCCAGAACATCTCAAGTGGAGGTGATCTGGGCTAAAAGGTGGACATCAGGAATGTCAGATATTTTTGGTTAAGGGCAAGTTATGGCGGTGGACAACGCTGACATCTAAGTAAGGATCACACAATACATAGGATAGCCCTTGAGACAGTTGTGTGACGAAAACATCCATCATGCTGGGGCTGAGAAATCCTATGTGAGAGGTTTCTCTAGTACTGGACCACAAAAATGAAGACCAACAAACACTTCTTTCTCTGCCTTTAACCTCTTCAAGCTACCTTGTCCAAATGGATACCCTGCCATCTTTTGGAAAACCTTCAGCTCTCTTTTCCTCCCCTCTCTGAACTCTCAGATCCCAGAGAAAAGTATGTTCATGCTGTATAGAGAGGCAGGAAACTATACGGCTAAATAAGAAAGACAGGAAGTACAAGCATGCATCGCCTCCAATGCAGTGGGGCCCTTCGTTCAAAGGAAATTGGCTTTACTATCTACTACCATTCAGGGTCTGGCTAGCAAGCAGCTTCCACTACCACTGCCATCTTTAAAGGCCGGCTTAGTAGTGACTCACAACAGCATCCTCTCCAAGACAGAGGCAACTGAGAGGGAGGGTGCCTTTAGATTTTAAAAGAACAGAAATTTCTCTCTTTCTCTTCCGGTCGCAGGCGCTTCGGGAGCGGCCGATTATCGTCCAGCCATGGCCAAGTCCAAGAACCACACCACACACAACCAGTCCCGGAAATGGCACAGAAACGGCATCAAGAAACCCCGGTCACAAAGATACAAATCTCTCAAGGGGGTTGACCCCAAGTTCCTGAGGAACATGCGCTTTGCCAAGAAGCACAACAAGAAAGGCCTGAAGAAGATGCAGGCAAATAATGCAAAGGCCATGAGCATACGTGTGGAGGCCATCAAGGCCCTGGTGAAGCCCCGGGTGGTGAAGTCCAAGGTGCCAAAGGGCCCCAGCCACAAACTCACCCGCCTGGCTTTAATTGCTCACCCCAAGCTTGGGAAGCAGATTAGAAGCTACATGGCCAGGGGTCGTAGGCTCCAAAAAACAAAGCCCAAGGTTCAAGCCAAGGTAGAGGCCTCAGCTGCAGCTCAGGCTTCCAAAGGTGCCCAGGCCCCTGTGAAGGCCCCATAAAAAAGGTTGCAGTCTGCCAGTGTGAAGACAGATGGACTGGTGTGAACACCTACACAGTATTTGCAGATGTTCAGGACCTTATGCTGTTTTTACAAGTAAACTTGAGGCAAGTTCTGTTAAAAAAAAAAAAAAAGAACAGAAATTTGCTTAAGTCTCAACATTTTTATCACTAATAAACATTATCGCTTCAATATTTTTAATTTAAAAAATCATACAATGTATTTTGGTAATATTCTTTCCACTCCCCTTCACTTAGATCTCTAATGCGCTTTCTAGGCTAAGAACTTTAATGTCTCTGTTCTTAGATGAACTTCATAATGATACTGTGAAGTGCAGAGCACCACTCTCCTTGCTTGTGACCCAAAAAGCAGATGTCAAGGCTGTAGGAGTGAAAAGCTTCCCGAACCAAATACAAAATGAAAAGACCACGTGGGTTTTTAAAAAAGAAATATGCATCTACTCCTCTTGCTTTACAAAAAGAAAAAAAAACTGTAGCTCCCTCTAGATGTACTATAAAGTAGAAAGGAGGAACTAAGACAGTATGGGGGGGACTCTTCTCGCTTTGGGTAGAGAGTGGCCGCTTCCCACTGCGTCCTTCGGGTGCTTCCAGAGACTAAGTACTAACAGCTGGCGGAGGGCTCTAGCTCTTCTCCGCTAGGCAGGGCAAGTAGTTCTCCACAAAGCTGGATGCCACCGGCTGCTTTGCATCAGCCACCTCGACCAGGATGTGTGGCCCGTTCTTTAAAGTCACTACCACACATCCAAAGTCGCTCGTCTCCTAGAATAACCTGTGCACTACGGGCCCCGATCTTAGTCACGCTGAAGCCCCGACCCTGCATTAAATGTGGTTCCTTCGTGGCCCTCCAAAGGACCCTGCGCCCAGGTCCTTCCCAGGACCGCAAGAGCCCGAGTGGGGGCACTGTCATCAGCTCCAGGCCTCAGAAGCGGTAGTGTAGTCAGTCTCTCATGCAGAGTCTATATCTCCAAAAGGCCACCGAAAGGCCACAAGGGGGATGTCGCCCCAGTTTCATACTCACTACAACCATCCGAGCACACATTGGACGGTGAAGCCGGGTGGCAGCACCAGGCCGGTACCCAGGCTGGCTCTCAGAAGCCAGGCGCCAGGCACTCCAGACTAGGGGTGGGCGGCGCAGGACTCAGCGCCATGCCTGGGGCGAAGGCGGACTTGGCCGCAACCAGCCCGAAGCACGTGCCCGGGCTCGCCGGTATCCCGGAGCCGAGGACAAAGTCTGCTCCCGCCCGCTCTGCAGCTCCAGCACCCGGCACCGGCGTCCGGGCAAGGCAGGCAGGGCTTGCGCGCGCCGCAAGCCAACTCCAGACCCCACCCCGATGCAAGCTCGGCCGCCCACGACTCCAGCGCGCACTCACCATTGTGGTTGACCCAGGTTGGCTTCAAGAGCTTCATTGTTCGGCCGCCGCCGGGCTGAGGCCAGAACCGTGTCCCTCAGCGCGCCTGGGCCATGGAGCCGCAGCCGCTTCCTCCCGCGCCGCCCGCCCTCCGGCCGCCGCCCACCCTTGCCCTCAGCGCCGCCGCGCCATCGCCGGCCCGCGCCCCCAGCCGTCGCCACAGCCGCCTCCTGCGCTCGGCCGCCGCCGCCGCCGCCACAGCCGCATCCCCTGCGCCGCTCCTCCTCCGGCGGCTCCGGGGCAACGCCGGAAGTCACGGCGCGCACCTGCCAAATCGCCCCGGCGGGAAACCGCTCCCTACGCGGACGGGCCCGCCTCGGCTCTTTGGCAGGCAGGGGGAGCGCTGGGCTACTCCGCTTTGGGTCTGATACAGGCGCGGTCGCTGGTGAGGCTCGGTGTGAACGGGTTGGGCAGAGGTTCAAGATGCCGCCCGACGATGCGGGGCCAGGGTAGTGTCCAGATCTCTATACCTCCGCGGCTCCGAGTCCACTTTAGTAACTAGCTTCCGTCATCCCTCAACACGCGCTATTGGGCATCTCTTGAGCTGCATCCGGGCCGGCGCCAGCATGCAGCTAGCGGCAGACAGCAGTGGTCCTGGGCTCGAATGGATGCAGAAAAGAGCTAGTCTGGTGGAGGGATACAAGGGACGAGACGGGCGCGTTTTATTGGGGCGTTTGCATAGACGTGAACACATAGGACAGGCGGAGCAGAAAGCAGCCACATAGGCACAAGAGACACTTGGGCAAGACTGCAGGCTGTACAGCAGCACCAGCAGGAGGCGGAACGGCAGCCGCAGGGAGAGAGGCGCGCTTGCCGGGGGCGGGGCTGCGTCGGGGGCGGGGCCAGGGTGAGCCCGCCTCTCCGAATCGCGGACCGGCGAGTTCCGGGCCGCGGCCTGTCTGACTCTACTCGGTACAACAGTTCGGACCGCCCAGGGGCGCGCTGCCGGAAGCTGCCCGCCGGCGGGTGGCGTGAAAAGCTATGGCTACCGCTGCGATGCTGTGTGCTGCGCGAGCTCTGCGGCCGCGGAGCTGGTGAGTGCCGACACGGGTGGCGAAGTGGCCAGGGCGCGTGCGCGGGCTCTGCACTGGCGCAGCTGTGGTGCTCGCAGATTATTTCAGGGCTGAGCTGCTCGCGTCTGTTGCGAATGAAAATCCGAGCTGGGAATATAGCTCAGTAGACAGACTTCTTGCCTACCGAGTCTGGAGCCTTAAAGCGCCAACCTAGCGCCACAAAAATCTTGGGCGTGGCGGCACACGCCTGCAATTCCACGCCTGTGTAGGTAGTGCTTGGTCAGAAATTCAAGGTCATCTACAGCTGCACAGCCCGCGTAAAAACCAGGCTGTATTAGACCCTACTTAAAAAAAAATTCCTTCTGGAGCAAGTAGGGGCGAAACGGAGTTTTGAAAAGTCCTCACTTTGATCTTGCTGGCCTAATACAAGTGAGCTAGATATGGTGGATTAGCCTAGGCAAGAGAATTGCCTCAAGTTCCAGGATAGCCAGAATTACGGAGACTTTTGTCTGGAAAAAAAAAAATACAGCTGCCTTCCAGGTTTTGGAGAGCCCTGTGGTTATGTGTATGTGCCTTCTCTTTCCCCGGTCAGATCTTTATAGATAGCCTTCTTTCCTTCAGGATCCCTGGAATCTGCCAGACACAGACCAGACACACCCACCAAAGAGCTTCCTTGCTGTCCTTCTGGGAACTCATCCCCATGAGGTAAAATTCAACATGACCCTTATCTCTTGGGGTGTGAGAAACATATGTATGCATGTGACCAAAACAAAGTAAGACTGCCCAATCTTTGGTTAGCAGATCCGTCTATAGTTAAATATAGGTAGATGCCTGTGTCCTTTCAACACACTGTACTATAATAGCATATATATGTATTGCTTATGTGTAGTAAAGTAGTTTAAATAATAGCAGTTAACTTTGAGGAGTCTTGTGTGTGTTAAAGGACACATCTTAACTTCTGTATCTCTTTCCATGCTCTTTCCTGCTCATTCTGATTCTGAGTGGGCAGAAGGTTCAAAGACTAAAAATAGTTCCTCTGGGTACTTTGGATGCTTTCTTGGGACTTGATTTAGTTGATTTTAATGCTAAAGGGTTTGCTGATTTTTTTTTATGTTTCCTTTTATTTATGTGTATGTACCAGTCATATGTATACACACATGTTTTCAGGTGCCCTCAGAGGCCAGACGGAGTTACAGATACCCTCCCTAGAGTTACAGGCATCTGTGAGCCCCTGATGTGGGCACTGGGAACCAAACTCCAGTCTTCAAAAGCAGCAAGCACTCTTAACTTCTGGGCCATCTCTCCAACCCCAGATTTGTTTATTCCTAGTGGCAAATTATGTCTTAGAGATGTGTTCCTAAAAGCAAACCAGATAATTGCCGGCTTCAGGGCATGGAATTTTTTTTAATGTGTTATGTCTGTATGTATGGGTGTACATGTCTGATGCCCACAAAGGCCAGAAGAAGGTGCCAGACCCCTTGGAGCTGGAATTAATGGTGGTTATAAGCCACCATGTGAGTGCTGGGAACCAAGAGTGAGCAGCAAGTCTTAATCACTTAAGTGATTAAGTCATCTTAATACTCCAGAAATTGGTAACAAATTCTGAGAAGTGAATAAAGACATGGCCAGTCACTTTTACTATCCTCTTTTATTCTTTTTTTTTTTTTTCCTTTTGGTTTTCCGAGACAGGGTTTCTCTACTTAACCTGTAAACCAGGCTGGCCTTGAACTCACAGAGATCCACCTGCCACCTGTCTCTGCCTGAGTGCTGGGATTAAAGGCGTGCGCCACCACTACCCAGCTCTCTTTAATTCTTAGATCATTTTTTTTTTTTTTTGGTTTTTCGAGACAGGGTTTCTCTGTAGCTTTGGTGCCCGTCCCGGAACTAGCTCTTGTAGACCAGGCTGGACTCGAGCTCCCAGAGATCCGCCTGCCTCTGCCTCCCGAGTGCTGGGATTAAAGGCGTGCGCCACCACCGTCCAGCTCTTAGAGCATATTTTTTTTTTTTTTTTGGTTTTTCCAGACAGGGTTTCTCTGTGGCTTTGGAGCCTGTCCTGGAACTAGCTCTGTAGACCAGGCTGGTCTCGAACTCACAGAGATCCACCTGCCTCTGCCTCCCGAGTGCTGGGATTAAAGGCGTGCGCCACCAACGCCCGGCCTCTTAGAGCATATTTTAAAACACAAATTCATTTAAAATGTGAATGAGCTTTTTATCAATTTCAGTAAGTAGATTTTAGTTCAGTAAGTTCACTTCTCAGGAGGTTTCAAGGTATCCCTGCAGCACAAACTGACAACTTCCAAGCTAAGAATGTAGCCCAGTTCCTTGCCTCGCATGCACAAAGCCTTCAGTTTAATCTTGAGCACCATAATATCAGGAGTGGTAGAAAATGACGAGCCTGGCAGTCAGGAGGTAGAGACAGTAGGATCAGAGTCTGAGGGCAAGTCAGGGCTATGTGGGAATGTGTCTTTAAAAGAAAAATTAACACCTCCCCTTAATAAGTCCCTGTAGTTTCCTGCTGCTTCCTAGAGTTGATAGGATCCCTACAGACCTCACAAAAACAATGGGCTAAAACCGGTCACTAGGCTCCTGGAGTCAGGACTGTGGACACCTCCTTCTCAGGGCATCTGGTACACGTGTGAGGCACTTTATTCAGCATCGTGTCCATCCTGAGGTTGAAATGGAAGCACTGAATGTTTTTTTCCTATCCACTAGAGCAGAACCACTACGGAAGAAGAAGAAGGTAGACCCTAAAAAGGACCAAGCAGCAAAGGATCGCTTGAAAAGGAGGATTCGAAAACTGGAAAAGGCCACCCAAGAACTAATTCCCATTGAAGATTTTATCACCCCTGTGCGGTTCTTGGATAAATCAAGGTAAAGGTTCTCATCTGGGTTGACATCCTTAATGCAAAGGAATTCCCTCAAGTAGTTCTGACTGAAGTTCTTCTCTGTTGGGAACAGGTGAGTCAGGCCGACTTGGCCCAGGTGGGAGTCCTTTTCGTCTTGATTGTGGTTTGGGGGATTTGGAGACAGACACTCAAGGGAGTTTGGATCAGCTTTGCTCCAGGGGTCCTGTTGTTCATGTCCATGAATGTTGACTGTCACTTATGATATAGGCACTGGCTCACTCTCAACCTGCCTGCACTATAGAAAACTCAGAGCCTCACCTACAAATGTTTATAGTTGGTGTGTGTTGCAAGTTTAGCAGGTAGCTCACGCTTTCCTGAAAAAGTTGAGACGCACTGGTGCTTTGTGGGCTTCTAGGACCAAATGGGCACTTGTCTCTGAGATTTTGGTTTTTGTTTCACCAAAAGGAGGCTTTGCCTGGGGAAGAAACAGTGGTATCATAGTTCTCTCAGAGTGTGCTCTTTCTGCTGGTGGACAACAGCTGCTTCCATGTCCTACACTGTGTTCTTCTTTCTTTTTTTTTAAGATATATTTTTATTCATGTGTACGTATGTGTGTTTTATGTTCATGTGACTGCAGGTCCCTTAGTGGCCAGAAGAGGGCAGCAGATCCTCTAGAAATGGAGTTATAAGCAGCTGTAAGCCACTTAATTCTGGGGCTGCCAAAGAAATTCTGGTCTCTAAGAACAGAAAATGCTCTTAACCTCTGAGTCATCTCTCCAGCCTTTACATTCTTAATTTACCCCCAAATTTACTATTTTCCTGAGCCCTGGTTGTTCCGAGGCAGTACCTGCTAGTAGGCAATAAAGTCATGTGTGGTCACAAGAGTCCCTCTGCTGCAGGGTCAGTAAGTCGTGTGCGGTCACAAGGGTCCCTCTGCTGCAGGGTCAGTAAGTCGTGTGCGGTCACAAGGGTCCCTCTGCTGCAGGGTCAGTACTGCTCAGCCTCACGACTCTAGACTTGTGTTTTCACAGACAGCGACTTCAGGAAGAGCATTCTTCCGAGGAGAGTGAGCAGAGAGCTCTCTTGCTGAAGAGGTGGGCACTGTACAAGAAGCAGGAGCATGAGGCAGAGAGGGACGCCATCCGAGCCATGCTGGAAGCCCAGCAGGAAGCACTTCGGGAACTGAAGCTTGAGTCTCCAGAGCTCTATGCCGAGGCCGTGAAGCGGGACTGCAGCCTATTTCCCTTTGAGAAAGAAGGGCCACATCACACGCCACCAATCTCTAACTACCAGGCCCCTGAAGGCAGGTACAATGACATCACCAAGGTATACACACAAATAGAATTCAAAAAATAAAACTGAAAACTGCTATCTTCAGAAGATGCTGGCCCTTGGAGTCAGAGTGACCGAGCTGAAGTCTATTTTCCACAGATGATACAGCCTGATACCAAATAAAATGTAATCAAAGGCACCTCTGTCTTTTGTTTCAATCTAAATGAATTTGCCTAAGGTTCGGTGGGATTTTCAGATGCTGGTAAAACAATGGCAGAAAGACAACATTGGCCCTCCAGTGAGGAAAGTATGGCTTAAAAATAAATAAAAACTTTGGTTGTGTCTTGAACTATTTGCAGAAGGCACAAAATAACCCAAAGGACCAGAGGTAAAAATTATGCAGGTTGTGCCTGTTGGGCAGGCGTGCCAGAAGCTGGGCCTTGCTGTGGGATAGCTACGGAGTTTCTCTGGGTTTTAATGTGAGGAGGTGGACTTTCGAGAGTGGGACATGCCAGGAACATGATAGGGACAGCTGCTCTGGCCTCCAGAAGAGAAGGAGACCTGGCTGAGACTGTTGCAGTTACTGTATTCATCTGGATTATTCCTGGAGTCCAGCACTGGGGAGATTGATACGGGAAGACTGCAGCTAGCCTAAGGTATAGTCTGAGACCCTGTCTGCTAAACAACACCAAAGCACAGAACTAGTGAATGTAGTCTTCTGTTCCAGCTGCTGTAACAAAATACCAGGGCGCAGGCAGCTTCCACAGTGGAAACCTTTTCTGGAACTTCCCATACTGCAATCTCTCCTGAGGCCGCCTTTTGATTTGCAGGCAGCCTCCTTGTCTTCACAGGTGTCTTTCAACCCTCGTTTTATCATTTTATTAAGGCACTATTCATGTGGCCATACAGCAAACCTAATGGTCGCAACACCCCGAGGTGCCAGGGGCTAGGGCTTCAACATGTGAATTTTAATGAGGTTTTGGCCTTGTACAAGCCCTGTGATAGTATGGTGCCATTTCTCCTAGTGACGCCATGCAACTGCAGAAAGGCTTTGGCTTGAGCCGGGCGGTGGTGGCGCACGCCTTTAATCCCAACACTCAGGAGGCAGAGGCAGGCAGATCTCTGTGAGTTCGAGGCCAGCCTGGTCTACAAGAGCTAGTTCCAGGACAGGCTCCAAAGCTACAGAGAAACCCTGTCTTGAAAAACTAAAAAAAAAAAAAAAAAAAGAAAGGCTTTGGCTTAAGTGCTGTATTGCAAATAAACCAGGGGAAAGTTTTGTCTGAGTATGAGCTTAGATAGTGAGGGCTGGTGATACGACCTAGCGGAAGTTTGTCTAGTATATGAGAGGCTCTAGCTTTCACTGCCAGCATCACATACAAAGAAAAAAGCTTCTTTTTGCAAAATTTACTTTCTTGACTGGTTCTAGCTAATTTAGTGTATATTTGTGTATTTATAGTTTACAATCTATTGACAGTATATTTATAATGCTATTTCAGGACTTTGCATTATGAAATGGAAAACTACTTATTAAAAAACTCCAACCAACTATGGCACGTGACAGTAGTTCCAGCTCCTTGGGAGAGTGAGGCAAGGGGATCTCAAATTTAGGGCTACCCTGGGCTATATCATGAAACTTAGCCTCTATTCTTTATTCTCCCAGCCCAACCCCTGCCATCCCTCCTGTCATGTGATGCTGACCCCTCAAACTCATGCGCTTCACTTAAGTGAAATCCTCGTTGCTCTCTGCCTGGCCTCACTTCTGTAGGCATATTGCCTCTATTTTTTCAGTTTGTTTTTTTTTAAGACTTCCCAAAGTGGGTTCAACTAATCCTCCTGCCTCAGCCTCCCAAGTAACTGCCTCTTTATGTATGCCACCACACACACACACACACACACACACACACACACACACACTGCTAGATTTTTTTCAGGGTAGTGTGTGATTGAGACCAGGTCTCACTGTTGTAACTCAGGCTGGCCTTGATCCCTCACTTGTTTCGATTTCTGTAGGGTGATTCTGTTCATCCATTCACCTTGTCCCTTCTGTGGTTTAGCTGTCAGGAACGCAGCTGCTCCCACCACACGTGTACAAATCTCTAAAGACCTTGCTTTAAATTCCTTTCTGAGGAAAAAGTACTGGAGATGAAAATAATGGCTTTGGTGGCGCTGTGGTGGTGCATGCCTTTAGTCCCAGCATTGGGAAGCACAGGCAGACAGATCTCTTTGAGTTTGAGACCAGCCTGGCCTACAAAGCAAGTTCCAAGACAGGACAACACAAAGAAACCCTGTCTCGGGAAAGAAAGAAAGGAAGGAAGGAAGGAAGGAAGGAAGGAGAGAGAGAGAGAGAGAGATAATGGCTTTGAGCATGCCAGGAAAGTATTCTACCACCTAACTATGCCTCCAACTCTCTTGCTCTAATTCTTTGGGGTTTACCCCCAGAAAGGGAATTGTTGTTTGTGTGTTAATTCTATTCATTTTACTTTTTTAAAAAGCACACTATGTAGCCAAAATAGACCTTGAGTTTCTCTTCCTTCCACCTCCCAAGCTCCCAAGTGGTATACCATCACGGCCTTGATAACTTCTTTGCAGAACCCCATCTACACCCCATTACTCAGGACCTCTGGAAAAGCAGTCAATACTCTTAACCTCTGAGTCATCTCTCCAGCCCCCTGTTTTGTTTTCTAAGTTTACTACACTCTAGATTACAGGGACTTAAACCCAATTTAAACATGATCATGAAAAGGACATCATAATTTAGATAGTACTTTTTTTTTAATAGAAAGAAAATCACCATGCGTGCTCCACAGAGTTGAGCTGTAATAGACTTAAGTGTGGCTAATCAAGGTTTATTTTCAAAGTGGTTAGCTTCTACTCAAGCTTTACCTAAACACTGTATATTCGTTTTTATGTTTTTTAAACTACCAAACTGGTGCAAGTGACCCACTGGGTGTTCAATAACCGTACTTACACATATATATACATACATACATACATACAGCTATACTCACATATATACCCTGATGTAGTCAGAGGAATTAAAAGAGAATATTTTCCTTGTCTCCCAAGGTCAACTAAGTCCCAGCAAACTGTGAGGCACTCTCAGAAGTCTGTCACTATGGAAAGCCACATTTTGTCTGAGAGACACCACTGAATGGACTCTAACCAGTGTCCAGTCTATAAAGAGGAGAGCTAATAAAGAAGAAAAGTCCTCCACACTTACAAATGAAACATTGACCAAGCAAAGCCCAACGTATCCTCAGATAGGCTCACTAGCAAAAGAAGAGACTAGAGGACCTAGAGACTCCTCCCAAATCCATGTGACCTCTGAGGACCAATCTTCAACTGGTCCTGACAGAAAAGAAAGTGATTTGTGCAGCCTACATGGTCTTAAACACGCAGAAGGAAAGTATGACCAGGATTAATATGATCAATATATGTTTAAGAGCCCTCAGACATAACTGGTGTGGAAGAATGCTCTGCATTCTGTCAATTATATTTTAAATAAACACTGATTAGCCAGTAGCCAGACAGAAAGTATAGGTGGGACAACCAGACAGGAAGTAGAGGCGGGTCAATGAGAACAGGAGAATTCTGGGAAGGAGGAAGCTCTTTCTGCAGCTGTAAACCCACCACAGAAGCAAGATGTGACTGCCCCACTGAAAAGCCCAGCCATGTGGCTAGCATAGACTAGAATAATGGGCTATATAGTTATAAGAGTTAATAAGAAGCCTGAGCTAGTGGGCCAGTTTATGTGACCTCTGTGTGATTTCTTTGGGACTTAATGACCGTGGAAGCCGGGCAGGACAGAAAACCCAGACATTACTCAACCATATAAGGCATTATTTGAACAACTATCTCTCACTAATGATTCTCTTCCTGGTAACAATATTTTATTCTAGAAAAGCACTTCTCACAGTTTTGTAAGAATAGCATCCTGTGCCCCAACCACCAATGTTCTCGATTAGAGAAGCCAGTTGTACAGTATCATTTAATCTTATTTTAACTTTATTAATAGACTTTATTAACTCATGTAGAATTTACCTCATTAATTTTGTCACTTAATGTTCGCCACAAGGTTGTACAGTTATTACTTCCTGACTGACATTCTGGAATTTTGCCATCTGTTAAGTTTCATTGTATCCCATTAGATGGACCCTCCTCTGAGGCACACTGTTGCCCCTCCTACATTTTGTGAGCTTAAAACTATTAAGGAGAGACTGGAGCCCCCTCAAATCCCTGAAAGCAGTTTGGCTGACCTCTGGAAGGGGGACTAACAGGCCATGGGCCATTGAACTCATCCCTTCTCTTGCATTGTTTTTAGGACTCAAAACAGCTGGACTGGAGCCTTCTTTGCATCAGTTAACCTCTCTGTCTCACTAGTGCTCAAAAAACCTTAGCGAAATTTTGGATCAGCTTAACATCCTTCAGGACCAACTCAACTGACTCCTGCTACTCTAAGACTAGCTCTAACCTGCTAATGATGGGACCTGGTACTCCTCCAGGAACAATGCTGCTTCCACACCAAATAAACTAACTTGTCAAAGATGTGGCCCAAAAACACAGGGACACGAAAACACTCAGCCACAAACCTCCTATGTACGAGCTTCCAGTTCCCTGATGCTCTGGTTCCTCCCCTTCATCACTTCTTTCTTCCTTAGTATCCTCATACTTATGTTGACTTACTGAACTTCCCCTATACCCAAACAAAATGTTCCACATAAGTTCTCCCAATAGCTCCCACCCCACAACTGCTTTTGTTCCTGATATACCTGCAAAAGGGTCTTTTACATGCTGGGGAGAAACTCCAGCAGCAAGGGACCTGCATTCCTTTCACCCAGGCTAGATACAATTCTTTACACTAGTCCTATATTTTCTGCTGCTCCCTCCCTTCGATGCTCTGTAGCTCCCTGCTGCTTCTGCCGGTTCTCTTTGGCAGTGGGACTAGTCACCGCCACCACAATCAACTCTATACTCACTTCTCTCTTCTCCTCCCCTTACCTCCACCCGCCTCAGCAACCTCTGATTTACTCTGACCAGATCATCCCTGTGCTGGATAGCTTTTGTCAGCTTGACACCAACTAAAGTCATTAGACAGGAAGGACCTTCAATTTAAAAAGTGCTCTATAAGACTGTAATGTAGAGGGGCTGGAGAGATGGCTTAGTGGTTAAGAGCATTGCCTGCTCTTCCAAAGGTCCTGA